ATTCGGTGTAGGAATGGGAATTGTATTTGGTCAAATATCCCGGTGATTTCCCAACACACCGAAACAACGACATTTGCGTACTTAAAAGCTTCAAAAAAGGAAAAAAACAGACAGGTCTCAAATTCTAAGAACTTGATTTTTGATGTGGAAGTTTATTATAACATATAGCCAGTGGTCACTGTGTTTTCAGCATTTTAATAATGCGCCATGCACTTGTGCTTTGTCCAAAACAGGNAATGGGAATTGTATTTGGTCAAATATCCCGGTGATTTCTCAACACACAGAAACAACGACATTTGCGTACTCAAAAGCTTCAAAAAAGGAAAAAACAGATAGGTATCAAATTCTAAGAACTTGATTTTTGCTGTGAAAGTTTATTATAACATATAGCCACTGGTCACTATGTTTTCAGCATTTTAATAATGCGCCATGCACTTGTGCTTTGTCCAAAACAGGGAACAACTGTAAAATCATCGGTTTTTGAGTAAGAGACCATTCCGGATATCCTTGATAGAGCTAATTAAGGAAAGTTAAAGTTCCAGGAAATATTACCCAAATGCACGTGACAAGTTCACTTCTGACTGCTCCCGTGACGCTGTTGGTCGATGGTTATATTCATTCTTTGCACTTCTTTAGCAACGGATACACCTCTTTAGGAACAGGTGCATTTGAGTGTAAGAAATAGTCATCGAACAAAAAAGTCATAGGATCAGCGACTCTCGCGTAATCAAAATATCTATTTCTAGACCCATTTGACAACAAACAGAAAAACGATTAGGCTGTTATACACGAAAATTGGGATAATCATAGTCGACTTTCCGGTTCCCATAAATAGCCATCACTACATGACATCATTTGACCGTGAAAAGTAGTGCGCCAATTGGGACATGCAATCCGGGCGTCCGTATCAGAAACTGTTAATTCGTTGACGACACCGTTATTCTGTGAAGTTTTTTTTTTCCAGGGATTTCTCTTCAGATCCAGTTCACTAGTCCTAGAATTCCCACAGAGCTGGAAGGAAAAGAATCTTCATTAGAGCGCAGGACCCAGTTATAGTACAACTGTAGTTTATGATAAAGTATTCTTGTGCCGTCCGAGGTTAAAGCAAGAGAGTAGCTGGAAACTACAATTGTAGTGTTGCAAAATATCTTAATAGTAGTGAAGCTTATATAACAGACAGAAAAATGTCAAAGTAGGTTAAATTATTTATTAATTTAGATTTCTATGTGATTGACCTTGGTTCTTCTTTTTTGATATCGCCTCCTATCGAATCTACTTTTTAGACTTAACTGGCAGATTTTAGAATAGGGATGTGTGTAAGCAGCAAAGGTAGGGTGTAGAATAACATACATGATTCGGAGACCAAACCTGTACTGATACTAGCTCAGACCAACCCAGTCTCCCATCTGATGGTCGAATAATTGGTACCAGATTGGTTTGGGAGGATAAAAACACTGACTCGAACATCGGCTGGCCAAAGCATGTCACTGTATTGGCCACATACACATTCTAGGCACCACTACGATCCTGAGTGCAAGTCAAGTACGGGGAGCATTCCTAAACCGGATTGATTTACGTCAAAAAACGTCAAGGTATCAATAAAAAGCCGTGTTCACCCTTCTTCATTCCTCTTCGCTTAATTGTAGAAGTTTTTGATACTGTCTTGAAGATTTAACTCCCTGAATTCCGATCATGAAGAAGAATATGAATCATGATAGGAAATGCAAGGCCGCAGGAATCGGAAGCAACAATAGCGGAAAGAACACAAAAAAGTGAGCCATATCGAATCTCATCAGCCGTTTACATTTCTTATGCTGGTGATTATACTTTTCGTTCCTCGACCGTGCACCACCTATCTCGAAAATTCATAAACTAGTTGAGTAAGCAACTACTTGTGTATTGTCTAACAATAAAGTTTGAAAGGGGATCGCCATGCAGAGATTCAGAGTGAACCCCTAGAGTTCTTTACAGCTCAAGCCCCCACATCCGATCATAGTTTTTGCCTTTTTTCTGTCTGTGTCAGTTAAGAGTCAATGACGCTTCCCGTTCGCTGTGGAGCTTTGGCGAATTATCGGTTATCACTATGATTTATAATCGATTTTACGCCATTAAGTGAAGTCGTTCGTCGAAAATTGTCTCAACCCATCTGGGTTTGGGATGACTAGAAGAGGAGTGATTGAAGAAGGAACCAAGTCCCATCCCCAGTCTAAAAAGCAAGACCAACAGTATATCATGAACAGAAAGTGAGAGTATTGGTATAAAATGGCTATTTTCCTGTCACTTGTTAATAGGCGGTAAGATGAAGATCTAGCTGATTAATAAAAATCATCAGATTACGATATCGATAACAGCGGGATAGCGACGGGAGAAAAGTTGACGAAGTCTGGGGTCATCGTCACTATCTCCATTGCCGCCGTAGTCGTCATCCGTGGAAGGCGGGTCTAAAACCGGTCGCAACCCCATACCCTCTACCTTGCGACATGCTTTCCCACAGTCTCTTATCACCCTCTCATCAGCTCTCTCCCATTTAATCACAGTATCCTATCATCGTGTGTATTTTGTCTTAAATCATCATCAAATGACAACGGATCATGTTAAAATAGCGACGAACACTTCCTGAGAATCACGTGAAACGACCCATGCGTTGCCGTTTCCCTACCTTCCAGTAAACTCTCTAGCTCTATCCATTTATTCAAAAAATTAACATTCTAAGTATCTGTCAAGGTTTTTATGCTAATTATTCATTTGTAGAGGATAACTCGCCGGTCTACCGCTGGGCTTGATCATTAATGTTAAGAAATCTATTGAACCCTACTCGTGTAGAAAGGTTCGGTCAAAACCGATGCGAAATGCATCCTGTGCAGATCATGTTGAAAATCCAGTGACTCGGTAAAACCTCCATTGTCTCCTTTGATATAACAACCACCTATTCACCCTACATTCATCCCACCGTATGCCATGAGCTCATTCCCTAGGTTTCGTCCAGTTCCAGAGATTCCAGTCCCGTCAATTTTTCTTGGGAAACATACTGCAACGACAGGGATCCCCGCCATATGCGTAAGCTTCCATACTGGTCACTGCTGCGACTCTCGCCTTGGCCGTTTGAAAACTATTTTTTTACTAAGTGTTTGATCCCCTAATTCTCAGATTCATGCAACACACTTGATATAACATTGGCCGTCAAACATGATCATAACAATCACTTCAACTAGGTAAACTATGTAAATCATCCATGCTATGTATACCATAACCAGTAGGCTTACTTACTTGGTTACACCCTACAATAGTTTTCATGAGGCAGTTTTCGGGTGTTACCAATAGAATAACAACTTTGTCGGCAATTAATTATATGTATATCCAGATTGTAACAAAGCAAAAGATCAAATGTACAAAATATCGAAAAGCAAACAACCAAGTTCTCGGCGCTCAGTGGTGGATGCCACAATCATTTCATAACTATTCAACATCATAAAGTGCTATTTTTACCAGTCGAAGGTTCTTGAGAGCGAGAAAACAGCATATCATTAGACTAGTGGAGCAGTGATCAGAGACGTCCAGTGTATTTTTTTTTGTAATGTTGAATCGAATTTACATCAGCTCTATCAACCTCGCATTTCTTTGAAGTTCATCTGGCTCTAGAGCAGGGGACGTTGACTTCAACGTAATGTTTACTAATTACGTACAGTATGCCTAGTAGTCTCACCCATGGTATATCCCAGACGTGGAACATCCAAGGATTAAATGCTGAGCACTTTGACTTTTTCTATTATCGAAAGACCGATTCGAAACATCACATAGTTTCAAAGCTCATCCAGCTTTTGAAAGATTTTCTGGAAAAAACAAAAAGCGTGAACAAAAGGTCCACTAATCGCTTGCTCTGCTGAAACTTTCTACTTCCTAGGGTAATCCTATTACATCTTTGGAGCATGCAATAATGGCAATGTATACATCTCATTCACATCCACGCCAAACCCATCAAGTCAATACCCACCTCATGGTGTGGCCAATGTTCACGGAATAGCCACATCCTCATGGATCGCAGAAGAATCCCACAAGGCCTGAAAGAAAAGCTAAGCACAACAACGCTATCTATCTATGAAATCAGCCGGGATCGTTCACCGTTCTAGTATGAAGCGGTCAACCCGAACCGCCTACGGTTTATATCAAGCAAAGCCGATATATCAATTACAACTCCTTATAATGGATCTTTATATTCTCTCAATCTTTTTGTGAAACAGCACGCGAAATACATAATAATAATAAGATAAAACAAGGCAGGAAGAAAAACGAAAAAAAGAACGTCGTAATTGAACCCTCAAATGTCGAGATGATTATCAATCACTCTTATCAGATCAAAAGAAGCAGTACGTATAAAATATTACACAAAAACGCCGAGATACAGGAGTGTACATATATGGACTAGTACAAACAGAAGAAACCACCGATTTCCTTCTAATCATTAAGAAAGATGCACGGGCATGCAACTAGCACTTTGGCCAAACTCTATCCGTATTTATGATTGGATACCGTGTGTACAACAAAGAACAGGCAGGAGACGTGGCCAAAGTGCTTCGCCTCGTCTACCACTGCTCTGATCTCCTCATTTCTCATCCTATTAGCTGGCATAACAATACTACCACCTAGTTACCTAGACTACAGCTGGCAGGGATTTTTCTTTGTGGATAAATGAAAAGCGTACAAAAACGCACAACCGAAAAGACCTCATAGCATCAAAATAAAAGTGCAGAACAGAGACAAATGAAAATAACTGAGGTACAGAATGAACAAACTGAAGCCTTTGCCTCCACACGAGGTCCTAAAATGAGCAACTGCACAAGGCGGAGGTAGACAATGAAAGATAAGGGACAAAGCGGATGGAATGCTGAGGACAGTGATGATGTTAATGTCAATGTTGACATTTCAGGAATGATCGACAAGCATTCCAGCCTTGTAATATAACAGTTTTCCACACCATTCAGTGGACAAGACCTAGCAGACCTTCAGAAAGAGTCCAAGAGATTGTCGGACGTGTCACCGCGCTTAATTGCTTCCATTCGCTCCTCTTCATCTGAATCCGAAAGAGCCAAATCGTTATTGAGCTGACCAGACGAGTGCATACGAGACTGCAGCAGCTCATTTGTCCACGCAGATTCGTCTGTAATAATGCAATTAAGTCTCAAAATTGTGAGGCTCAATATGAAGCATGGAAATGGAAAAGTAACTACACTCTCTCTTTCTCCTATGCAAAGCATGAAACTTCAAAGCACGTACCCATCTCTTCGTCTTCCATTTCGTTACCACTCAGTGCGAGGTCATCAACAAGAACGCCGCCCTCTTCGACGTCTGACATCTCTTCTGTAATTGAACAACTCAGAACATGGAATTTCGGCATTTATTTGTAAGCACCCGCTTAACAGAATCGAAAGACGAAGCTCGAAGATAAAAAAAAAGGCCATCAAATCCACAAAACTCTACCTACCATCATTGGCCATCGCATCTTCGATTTCAGGCTCGACTTCGCCTATGTTCAAATCAAACCCGTTGATGTTGGCTTCAAGTTCAGATAGCTAAACCGACGCATGTGATTAAACGTAACCTCGACACATTATATTAGGAAAATCTTCATATTACCTGAACAGCGTGATCAGCAAGCATTTTGTCTGCTAACGCAACAATTTCTGTGGCTTTTGCCGTATACGAGGACTTCTCAGCAGAGCCGTTGTATAACTCGGAATTGATCAAAATCTACAAAAAATGGTTATCAGAAATGAATGATAAAAGGAATGACCCGCAAAATATTGATTTCTACTACTGCACTGTTAAAACGATCAAACTTTCAAAAGCCGACCTGGTGAATATCGTCACGAAATTCTTGAACCGTAACATATCGGTATGCCTTCACATTTGCTTCAATAGTGCCCAAATCCATTGGCCGACTTATTTTCTGGTAGTAGAATGGAACCTAGATTTGATACAGTAAGATCTAACACTTATAAGGCTTATCAAGAACGTAAAGCCTAGTCTTCTGGCGTAATCAGTCCGTTCTGAGGGATGCGCCCCCGCATTCGCTTCCGTCAAGAATCTTAGTGGGTATTGAATGCGTGTGTGAGCTATACAATAATTTGCGGTGGCCAACCGATGCACAAGTCTATGCATTTTCCTCCCAGACGAGCTAGTACCAATTAAGAGAACGCGGAGGGGGGAAGGCTTAGTTGGCCTTGGCGAATATCGGCCGGGATTCGAACCCTCGACCACGCGTATGTGATATTGTGCCACTTGCCACTATACCATTTTCGCCCTCTCGAAAACATATTGCGCAAGAAAGTGAACGTGAAAACTTACATGCAGAAAAAGTGTACGAAACAAGTAAACAAGTAAAAAGGCGAATACATTTCCACTGACCTTCTTTGCATCCACTCGAGTATGAAACGGAACCGATTTCGGGATGTTCTTGCACGCTTGCACGATCTTCTCGAGCACGAAGCCAAACCCGACCTAGGCACATGTGGTATCAAATAGTGTGCTAGCCATCTAACATGTCGAGTCTTCCCTCACCGTTTGTATATGGGCTATATCGGTCATCAGAAAAGTATAAAAAATAATGAGAAAAAGACCACAACCCACTCGATCGTTATCATCCAAAAGAGGATTGATAGCTTTTTCCAGCTTCATCAATTGTTGCTCCTTCTCCACCAATCGCTTTGAAGCAAGCTCGAACATCTTGAAGAAACTTCGTATCAGATTGCATACTTCACGGAGAACAATTACAAATACAATAATTCTTTAGAAGAGGCTTCCGAGCAAATTCCAGCTCACCAATACATCACCCGTTCGGCAACAAAAATGTAGGGCACGATAAAAATAACAGTAATCGGAAACCTACTACGCCCTACTGCAACTTCTAATCATAGTAGAAGCCAACGATTGAGGAGTGGTAGGGATAGGGATTACGGAAGTCATGGGAAAAGGAACGATCGTGGCCCTCAAACTTTAAATGAGCACAACTTTGAATGCGTTTATGATGAAGCGCTCCAGCCCGGGATTGTCCCATTCGAACACAAAGAACCCATTTATATATATGCATATACATATATATATCATATATTATAAAAAACTGAGCATTATAACCTTCTTCGCAGCATCCGTTATCACATGATTGTCTCCGTTATATAAACGAGAATTGTCAAGCATTCGTTTTACATCCTGAATCAGAAAAGTTAACTAATTACTGAATTCCTAACCTAGCTTCATTTTCCAAAAAATTTCCAGAGCAAATCCTTCACTCACCAACAAGAATTCTTGCCGCAGTTCGTATTTATTGTCTGCGATTTTGCTCTTAATCTTTTGCAGGTCCATCGGATTTTTAATAATATCGTAGTAATCTTTAACCTGAAAGCAAAGCCAATAGTTGAGTAGACCTATACGAGCTCACCAAAACATGAGGCCCGTGCCACTAATCTTTGCACGTACTCTACCAACACTAAACACAAATACCAACTGCGCTTAAGTCCAACACTACATGCTTATTGCAAGAACTCCTTATGCGCACCTTTTTAGCGTTCACGGCGAACATCAAATGCTCAGAACCAGGAATCGTCTTCAACTCATTCACTATTTCCGTAAGTAGGGTGCCCATTGTAACCTGGAAATTTGTATGGCAGCGCTGAATTGTGTTACAATAACGTCAAAGTGATCTTTCGACAAATTCAACTTCCTATAAGTAGAAAAGATTTTATGCTTGGGTGCTTACTTTAGGATCAGCACGTATTCGCTGAACACTTTTATGCGGTCCTTGTAGATAATCCTCTTCGGGCAATGTCGATGCGCGACGCTTCGCTGAAGCGACTCCTGCGCCAGCATTAAGTCGTGGACGTGGTGTAACAGCTGGAAAGTAAATGATTCCTAACAAAGCATCAATGATTCCAGACGGCACTACACATATGCTTTCCTGACGCTCATGATCTTGTCTTGATAATGGGTGCAACCTATAGATAGAAACGAAAAGCATATCCGACCTGAAGGCGTCATCGATTGCTCGAAATCACTATCGAACTCCTGCTCACGCTCTTGTTTCACCAGCATTGGAGGTGATACCCCTTCGGCAGCATCGGAAGAGCATATCGAATCTTCACCACGTTTCCTGCCACCTCCCTCTTCAGGCAAATGCCGAGGTACCGCGGACCTACATTGGAAGGCATTCACACTTCAGGAAAATAAAAAGTTGAGGAGCAAACGGGTTGAAACCTACTTAATCTTCTTTTTCTTAGCAGGCTGCTCGTGGTTGATGACTTTCCTGCTGATTTTCACTTTCGTGCCCTCAACCGCCACCAATTCACCAGTGAGCGATGCTGGCTCATCCTCAGCGTCTGATGAACCGGACTAAATATTGTAGAATGAAGCGGAAAAGTGAGATATTAACCACTAGTAAAAAATGTTGGGAAACAAAAGTTAAAACCAGTCATGTATTATATGTAAGAATCAGTCGTCGGGGTCACAGTGATGCAGGCAATCGGAGAGCAACTAATTTGAGTATGAACAGCCTAAGTTTTGATAGGCTAGCGAAGAAAGAATGTATTTTAGACGTACCACAGTTTCCTTTCCAGGAGTCTTTGAAGAATCTTTGCCATACAATGGACAATTCTTATTCGTCTTCATATGACCAGTACCATGACAAGCAGAGCAACGCATTTTTTGTAAGTTCGGCTTGATCGGAATCGGCTTTTTTTCGATCACACGCTGCAATATGAACAATGAAGTTTTTTTNTTTTTTTCAACAAAAAATTCATAATCACAAGGTCAGCACCTGCTGCGGATGTCCTGTTTTCCCTTTTTCCTCGTTCCTTCGAATTCGTCGTAACTGATCTTGCAGACGGCGCTTCTGCTTTCGCCTCTCCTGGAGGGAAATGAAAACAATACGCATAAATCGGTAATTTTCACTCGTCCTACCTCCTTAAACTGTTCATCCATTTGAGCGTACACCTCGATGAAATTCTCATCTTTCGTCATTCGAATTCGTGTGTAGGCCTCGATCAACTGCGGCCGAGTAACCACTTCCACTCGCGTCTAAAATTCATGATACCAGAATGACCTACTGCTCTTAAATAGACTAAAAGAAAGAGGAGTGCTAGTATGTGAAGAAGGTTTTGAAGGAAATCCGCTTAAACATAAAAACCCATTTATATCGAAAGAAGACACTTTGTATAGAGGGATGCGCAAGGTTCTACGCCAGAAAGATTAAACACAGCTTAGGTCCATGTATCACGAGATCTAGCAAGAGTTCAAGAACGAAGTAGTCCAGTTAAATCAGCTGAACCGAACCGACATCGACAATCCCTACTTTTGATATTGATAGTAAACTAGCAATTCGAAGCCTCGAGAAAAGATAGCACCAAAAGAGTCATAAACTACTCAGCAAACCGATGCTTACCGATTCCGTTCCGTCCGGATTCTTCATAGTTCGGTAGATCTTCAGCTTTTGATTCGCCGTAATTCCAGATATTTTGGACGCCGATGCAGCCAAATCTTCGCCGATTTTCGACACATCTGAACACGAAAGAAGTTTTTCACTTCCTTTTTTTACAATTTCATCGAAGACGTTACACGATACAATTTGGGTATGAGTACCACGGGAGGAGGAGGCTGAGAGGGCAATAGGGAGGAAGAGAACTCCATTGAACCTCTAATACATAAGTCATCAACTTCCGCAGAATATTCTGTCATGAACCAAATTGGAGGTGACAACAAGCAACAATACTCTGCTCCCCTCCAATTCCAACGACGATGTGAAATAATGCCCCTGACTCTGACCATTTCGTCGCGATGTTTATATGGGAAATTCCCGCAGCACGATGATTTCGTCAACAGCACTGAATGGCTGCTTTCATAGCGAGCGAGCGCGTGCCAACCGGAGACGGTGCTATCCACTTATCTACGAACTGAATGCCAAGTGGATAGCGCCGTCTCGGACGGCGGACTATGAATGCAGCCAACGACGTAATAGGCGCGACGCGTCCACGTTCATGACCATGTCTGTTTGATCAAGTTGTCGGTGAATTCTAGTTATATCGAAAAGCCGAATGATAAAATAAAAGCAGAATCAATTGAGGGTGCGTCGACTTCTAAAAGAAGAAGGAGGAATCTTACTCTTCTTCTCTTCCGCTGTTGCTTCTTTTTTGTCCTTTTCTGTTTTATTCGTCGCATCGCCGTGAACCATCCGCTTGAGATCTTGCCGCTCCTTCTCCTCATTTTCGAATTCCATGCGAGCCCGCTCCGACATTGATATATGCTTTTTTCCTGTAACAGAAGAGCGACTTCTCGACAGTGACTCACGCGAATGGTACAACTCACCTTTATTTGCTTGTAGCATAGTTTCAAGTCTTGTTGCCAGCTCCTCGTTGTCAGAGTCTTCACCGGAACTTCCCTCATCGGTAGATAATGCTTCCGGATTTGCCAGCGTTCTGAAGCGGCAAAGAAAAAAATAGAGCAATCCTGTCGGACTCAGAAAAATAAGTACAAACTGGTTTTGTAGATCGAAGATATGTTGGCAGTGTTTCTTGTACTTCTCTTGCATATCAGCAAAATTGAAGCGAATGTTTCCCCGAGCAAATCTAGCCATGCCAGAAACATTCCCTTCTAAAAATGGTACACTTTTCTCAAGAACAGTATCACAGAAAAGGTTGGGAGCGCTCACGATCTCCTGACGAATCCGCTTTGGCTTTTGCAGCTTGCGTCGACAGTGTTCGAATGACATCTATAATTTCCCATCGAGAAAGTGCGTTTATCTGTAGAGAGCATCATTAGAAAAGCAAATCAGCGGTCAGATTAATCAAACCGTGAATAAAGTAGAATACCTCCTCTTCCCGTACACCGTAATCTCTACAAATTTCTTTTGCTTCTTTGAGAGGCAATTTTCTGAGATCAGCATTTGTACCCGTAACAAGACGCTTTGGCATTGCAGGAGTATCATCCTATATCATTAAAGGAAATTAGATTAAGCATTCCAGAAGTCAAAATCAACTCAAAATTGCTAATACTGCTCTACGTCACAAGAAATACTCCTGAAATTAAAGTCAAGGGTACAAATCACTCACCTTCTGAGGCTTCTGAGACACACGCACATAACTGAACCCTTGCCCACAACCAGTTGGATCAGCGATTCCAGTTTGATCCAAAAGACACTTCCCTCGCATGGAGGACAGAAATGCTCGAGTAGTATTCCACGGCGCACATTTTATCTGCAAGAAAACTCGAAGATGAAGTCTCAACTTACAAAAGATAATTTGTCGATGAAAAAACAACTCTCCACTACCACACCACCAACCTCGTCTTCGATCGTCACTTGATCATCAGAATCATCTTCATTTTCAGGGGTAAAGAAGTACTTCTCTCCATAGCCCGCATCCTAACAAGAGTGAGTTTGTACATTGAGCTAAGGCATTATTAGAGTGAAATAACAATAATAACAGGAGAAAAACTAAGAGTGTAACCACTAGTCGGTCCTCATTTTGATGATAAGCAAATTCAAAAGAGGACTGAAATAACTAAAATACACCAAAAATCCTAACCTTCAATCTCTGCTCCGCAGCAAGCATACTGTATTGGGCACAGCACATTTCAGGAGTGACCATTGCGAGCACTTCTTCCTTGCTGGGCAGACGAAATTCCGGCCGTAAAACCTTCACGAGCAAGGGTTAAGAGGAGGGAAAAGCTGGTTTTGTAAACAGGAACGGAACAAAAAAAAAATAACAAGGCAAAGAATGAAGTTCTGGTTAACAAAAGATTATCATGAATGGACTGTATACAAGAGTAAAAATTCATGGGAGCGACATATATGATTTTGGGGGGACGTGCGATTCGTGCGATTCTGAGCGCGCGCGGCAAATTGCGCGGCGAAATTCGCGATGATTCAAACAACTCCGGCGCCT